GGCTTTGAGTTGCATAACTGGCACAGGATCTGACCGTTATGTTCTCTTTGTTGGTGGTTATTATATTAACCATTTCTGCTCTCCAGTGACTAAGAACAGATTATGCAACAGGGGCAAAGACTTTCCAAAACCTTCCCTGCGGAAAAGTCAAGGTGAGATTCTGCCATTAAAGCAGAGTGAACCAGTGGGTTATTTCTGAGGAAGTTTCACCTTCTAATATTTTTTTCAGTGGCTCAGAGTCTAGTTGTTCTGCGACTTTGGTAGAGAGATCTGAACATGCTTATGAGGTATCATGGCCAGGGACAGTCTGTGGGTTGATAGCCAAGGTATGGGACTGAGAAAGCCTGCTGTAGTTAATGAATTCACCTACTTGGGGTCTCTTCTGAAACAAATCTTTAAAATGACTCCCGCTCCTTTCTGTCAGTCAGTGTCTGCCTTTTCACGTCCTACCTGCTTTTCCCTCCCATTTTGTTTCTCTTAACAAAATATCACTATATCAAGAGCAAGCAGCACGGTGTGACAGCTCTCCCCAGCCCTCGGCTGTGTGATCTCAGGAAGATACATCCTGGGCCCCTGAATCTGTAACCAGCGTTTCTTGTGCGTAATCGAAACTGCCTGGTTTCAAAAGTATTGAGTTTTTTAAACACTGGTTGTAAGTGGCATCCAGTTTTTAGGTATGGTTTTACATCCTCATCACTGTAATTTACTAGTCCCTGTAACAGGTACTATTACCACTCAAACCTCAAATCATAGTGGATGAATATATTTCAGCTCTTTCAGAAGAAGGCAATAATGAAAGATATGATTGTGGGTTTTTTTTAGCTTGAGCTGATTTGCATACTTTTAGTGTTTTTATAAGGAAACCATTTAAATATTTTACAGAAATCTTTTGCTGGTGTGGTTGAGACTATTAAATTGTGGAGTGATGAACAATTTATTGTAAATTTAATTGTTTGGCTTTTTGTACTCTGTACTCATTTTAATCAAAACAAAATAACTTCCAACTGTTTCTGCAAATCCAAAAACGTGTTGACATAATCATTATCCAGTGAAGACTTGAAGGTCTTCAGTTGTCACCTTGTCATCTTGTTTTAGATAGATTAAAAGCTGAATAGAAAGCCTAGATGTACAAGAATGTATGTGTTCTTTATGTAGGTAGTTATGTAGGTAGTTTGGAGGAAGCCTTTGTTTATTCTTTAGTATTGATATGAAGCAGTGATCACATGAAGTGAACTATATTCATTTAGGGATCCTGCCTAAACAAAGGTCAGTGCCATGATTCTGGGGAATGGGCATTTAATATTCTTTGCTTTGAGTGCTCACTTTTCATGTGAAATGAATGAGTGGTTGTTCTTCCCTCTGTTGTTAAATTTACTGTGCAGGTCATAAATACCTGACTGAAGTTGATGGACTGATCGCTCTGGATACAAAAGTATATTAATAGTGACAGGTGTGAAACTCCTGAAGTCCGCACACCTTTCTACTGTGGTGTGTGTTGAACGAATAAAGGGCAGAACATACTGGGCTTCTAGGGTGGTTTGTTCTCTGGACACGCACGCGGGCCATGCCCCATGCAATTTTCACTGGTATGTATACCTCTTGACTAGGGACCAGGAGCTGCCTTGTTACCCACATGGAATTATGTGAAGAGCTTGCAGGTAATGTTAGCTTTTTGTTGTTAACAAGATGTCATGGTTTAACCCCAGCCAGCAGCTAAGACACAGCTGCTCACTCGCTCGCTCGCTTTCCCCCAGTGGGATGGGGAAGAGAATTGGAAGACTAAAAGTGAGAAAACTCATGGGCTGAGATAAAGAAAGTTTAATAGGTAAAGCAAAAGCCACGCACACAAGCAAAACAAAACAAGGAATTCATTCAGTACTTCCCATGGGTAGGCGGGTGTTCAGCCATCTCCAGGAGAGCAGGGCTCCATCATGCCTAACGGTTACTTGGGAAGACAAAGGCTGTAACTTTGTGTCCCCCCCTTCCTTCTTCTTCCCCAGCTTTACATGCTGAGCATGTCATATGTTACGGAATATCCCTTTGGTCAGGTGGGATCAGCTGTCCCAGCTGTGTCCCCTCCCAGCTTCTTGTGCACCCCCAGCCCACTCGCTGGTAGGGTGGGGTGAGAAGCAGAAAAGGCCTTGGCTCTGTAAGCACTGCTCAGCAATAACAAAAACATCCCTGTGTTATCAACACTGCTTCCAGCAAAAATCCAAAATCTAGTCCCGTACTAGCTGCTATGAAGAAAATTAATTCCATCCCAACTAAAACCAGTACGCAAGGTCTAAAACTTTTGAGACACTGCGTCATATTAGAGTCCCTTGAACCATTCAGGTCTTGAGCTCTATGTAATTCAAAGAATTAAAAACTGGTGGAAACAGCAGCAGCTGCCTGGTGACTAACCCAAATAGCATATATGCCTTACGCATTGAACTTTAATGTATATGTCATCCTGAGTGTTGAAATCTTGCAATTTAATAGCATGTTAAATAAATAACTGTTAAATAAGTTGAATGACAGTTTTACAAACACTGTTTATTGTCACAACAATCAACAGTGACAATTCCAGGATCATGTAAGAATACATGGACTATTTTTAGCAGGTTGATGAAAACACAGCAAGGGTAGGTGATACGATCCACAGCTCTCAGCAGCTCCTGGGGAAAAGCGTGTTTGCCTTCAATAAATTCACTGTCCAACTTGCAGAAATCCCCAGATCCACTCGAGTCTCCGTGAATAGTGTCTCTAATTGCCCAGCTCTCTGCCTTGCCATGTGCTTAACCAATAAAAATCACTGGGCTTTGAATTAGGGGTAATTTAAACCAGGTGCATCTGGATTTCTCTCTGTAGTTATGTGTAATATTTTTTTTTTATTTTAATTGATTGTTATCACAAGAAACTTCTATGGTTAAGTATGAGAAGAGTTTCCATAAATAAAGGGGTCGTTAACCTTTAGTTAATGTTATGTACCGTGGTGTTCATAGGTGTGACAATACCCACTGCTTATGATAGGCAATGTCCTCTGTCTCCTGAGTGACTGGTCATGTAATAATTCTGAAAATTGTAACTTGAGTATAATTCTGTGCAATCTGCTTGACTTCAGCTGGTGTAAATTGCATATAGATAAAATCCTGGCATTCGAAAGTAAAAAAAATTGTGAACTGATGTTGAGCGTTAGAATCTCATTAATTTCCCTCATTTTACCTGTTTATTTCCACTTCACTTGTTTGAAGACACAAGTATGACATACTTTTTTGTGAAAATCTGTGTCATTATAATAAAATATGTTAAATCTGTTGTATCTGCAGTTGTATTACAAAGAAGTTGAACTACATCTTTAAGCAATTCTGCAGGCAAATGCACATTTCAAAATCCTGGCTCGGGAAACTAGCAGTAAACTAAGAAATATTTGATAAGTACTTGAAAAATACAAATTTTACATTTCTTTATTGTTGTCTGCAGAAGATTTAAAAAGAAATTAAATAAAATTATCCTCTCAACCACCATGTTTTAAATTTTTGTGCCATTAAAAATGCAGGAAT